TATAAAAACAGAAAACAATGAACTCTATTTTCTTTTTTTCCACTCTATTTTTTGTTGTTGATGAATTGTATGATGGTTTGAAAACAGGGGCTTTGAGATGGGGGCGGCCGGAGCCGAGGGAGATGGCTGCAACTGCAACTGCAAATGCGGCGACAAGTGCTCTTGCAACCCATGCAAATGCTAGACAAAACCGTCGGCGTCTCGCCGAGAGCTGAGCTTCTAATATGAAGCTTAATTTACATAATGGTGTTGTTGTTGTTGGGCTTTGTTTGTGTCTGCAAGGTGTTTGACGAAATGCCGCTAAGTAATATCTGAGAAATAAAAAGCAAACATGATTATGAATGGAACGTCCTATACGTATATCGTGTTTTCTAATGTCATTTCTATAACTATTTTGGGTCTATGTTTGAAATGGGTGATTTATTACTTTTTTGACAAAATACATGTCTGATAGTAATTTAATTGGTCAAATATTAATAATAGAAAAGTTGAAGGCTTAAAATTGAGATTTTAGAAGTTAAGAAAAAGTATGAGAAATGGATACAAATTAGAGCTTTCAAAGAAGAAAGATACTTTAACTCCTAACAATGACTAAATTTGGTTTTCATTGCCATGGAAAAATAGATAACTATTATTTTTTTAAAATGAATTTCTATTTTAATGACAAGATGGGTCTAGTAAGGAGCTAAATACTTTCTTTAAAAAAATAAAAGCTCATTAAAATTTAGGAGCTAAAATTATATTTAAGTTTTAAAAATTAATAATGGAAAGATAATTGTGAATAAAGATGATTCATTGAATAGAAAGTAAAAAGACAAAAAACGATGTCAAAATTTTTGAAAATTTTAGAAGAAAGTAAAATGGGTTTGGGCGTCATCTTTTTTGAAAATTGTGATAAACGGACTAGTGTTTTTACATTTATTTTTAATTTAAAATTTGTTTAGGAAGGGTATTTTTGTTATCATATTTTAATTTATTTCTTCTGTTCAGCCAAGCATTTTCAAAAGTATTGGGCTTACCAATTTGGGCTGTGTGTTCCGGCCCAACTGTCTCATATCCAGCCGTATACTTTTTTTCTTTCTCTTTTTAATCAACAAGGGAATCATGAAGAATTGAATTTCTACCACATTAATTTGAATATCATTTCAAACCATACTTTATTTCAATCTAACAACACAATCTTTCAAGTGTCGTATTCGAGTAAATGTTCATTACTCCTAATCTTCCTTATTTCATCCTTCGATATCCAGATCAACATCGACAAAGATCTTTTTCTTTTTAAAGGTAAAACTGGTCATAAATTAAAAATATTCAATTCTCAACTAATATTTATAAAAATGAATATGTAATAGCCGTGGAACATTACTTAACTTTGGTATAAAAAAGCACTAATATATTATTTTCCATTGATGTTAAAGTTTACAAAAATAGAAATATCTTAGGTGGTCCTTACATGTTCATGGGAGGGGAAATTAATTTCACAATAGCAAGTTCTTGATTAAATCATATTAAAATTATGGTTTTTTTTTTCTTTTTTGGTCTACCAAATAAGAAATGAACAGATTCACATAATTTTCTATGAAATGAACCTAGCAAGTCATTTAATGCAAAGAAGCTACACAGTATCATCGATTATGCATTACAGGTAATTCATTCATTTTCCTACCAAAAAAGGTCGACAAATTTTGGAATGCCAAATGTGAAATTACCATTTTGCAATTAAACGCAATAAGCCAATTTAGTCAAAGGGATTGTTTGAAGTGTTTTTTTATTTTTGTTTTTTCAGAACAATAAAAATATGTTTAGAAAAATACTCTCTCATAAATTGTTTATTTTGGATGAGAGTTTGATTTTTCGATTGATGGAAAAGGTTAAAATGTTTAACTGTTGAGCTGTGTAGTCTATCTTTAGAATAATTGAAAATTTCTTTTTCTTTTCAAAATCATATTATTTTAATAGATTGAGTTGAGATGTATGAGAACGTTACGGTCTTGATAAATATATTACTTCATATTATAAACTCATTTTATGTTTGTTAAAATTAAAACATGTAAAATATAATGTATTCTAAATTATATAACCTTGTAAAATAACAATTATACAAAATCCATAAAAAATGTTAATAAATTAATTAAAATAAGTTTAGATTAAACTAAAATTTAGTTTGCAACTCCTAGTTTACAAATATATTACTAAACACACATTGAACAATTTTTTAAATTGAGATTCAATTACTAAATTTGCTACCAAACACATATCTGAAAACACTAAAAACAAAGAATATAACTCTGGTTTTTATTGAATCCCTCGTTTTCAAATTTTTGTTTTCTGATTACCAACCAAACGCACCCTTAACTTTTTATACCTTACCCAATAATTCTCAAGCTATATTCAAATGGATCTCTCATCGTTTATTTACATGTATAATGAGATCTATCTTTTGGAATTATTGAAACAATTTTTTCTTTTCAAAATCATAGTGTTTTAATATATTGAGTTTCTTTTTTTATTTCTAAATTTTAATGATAGGTACAGGAGTAGAGATTCCAACCTTTATTATTTTGATGAATGATATATATCTTTACTAGTTAAGTAATATTATAATTTTTACTTTTTTATTCAATAATTGTTTAGCTATATACTCAAATTCATCTCTCATAACTTATTTATCTTTGTTTTTTCTTTTGAAATGATATCAACCATTCATGGAGGCACGTGAGAAACATAGTTAAAAAGCTTTTTACAAAGAGATATAGGTACATTACAAGAGGAATGATAAGGCTACTTTTCATAACTTGTTTATCTTTAAAAAACAATTGTAATAGCCTTTTTTTTTTAAAAAAATGTTATAAAACAGTAGTACTTGTGACGGGATTAAATTTGAGACCTCAAAACCATAAGTGGTATCTTAAGATCTCAAGTACTTGCCATTAGATCATTCTTCCGATGACCTATCAATAGTTTGTTTAATTGAAATTAATTTTTTTAAATCATAGTATTACAATATTATACTGAATTGAAACGTATATCGTTTTTTTTTTACTTTTTACACGATACTCGATAATTGTTCTCAAAATCATGCCAAACAACTCGATTATTCTCACTTGAGTCAGCGTACACTTAACGTCTTTCTCCAATCAACGACGCCCACGTGTCGTCTACAGTTTTTTTGCATGTGGGATGGAGATCATTATTATAGAGCCAAGAAGTTGATAGAAACCTCCCATCTCTCTCTCCTCTCTCTCTCTTCTCTCCCTCTGAGTTCTCCATTAGCGTGAAGCTTTGGTGGGGCTGAAAATGGTGGTGATGACCAGTGAGGAGGAAATCAGCGGAAGCAGCAAAGAAGCAGAGGAAGGAGCCATAGTTTCAATGCCAAAACAATGCTCAAACAAAGGTGGCTCAGTGTTATTACAGCGAAAGCACAATCTCTCTGTCACGTTTCACAGAAATTTTCAAGGGGTACTATTAATTTATTATATCAAAATTTCCAGGCTTTAACCTTTGAAAGATATATATTTTTGTTCATGTAACCTATTATTTTCCCTCCCTATCATTCAATCTAGAAATGCTTCAAAAGAAATGCCAAAATATTTGATTAAAACCAAGCAAAACTAAAATTTAACATAGTATTAGAGTAGAGGGAGGAATCGAAAGGATCTGGATGAGAAATAAAAGATTAAAGAACATGCACAAAGCCCTAGCGGGAACGAAAGGGTAAAAGGGTTGGATCGAATAATCGAAGATTTCGATGAAAACGACAAAAACCCATTTCGTGAATTTTTTTCAAAAGTTTTTTATTTTTGGGGTAATTTAATTATTTAGTAAACCCTAGATTTGGGATTCTTTTTGAAGCAGGTAATGTTGAAGCTGTTCCAAGCGCCTGAAATAACGAGTAATTTTGGGGCATTTCCTCCATCGTCACGCTCTCAATTCAAGTTTTGCTTAGAAGAAGTTGCGGAAAGCACTTCCAGTCCCACTATTTTCCAGAAAAAAGAAAGCACTTCCAGTCCCAGCAAAAAAGATTCGGTAATATCATAATTTTCCAAAACTTATTTTTTCATTCCATTATATTGTTATGTTTAGGGTTAATTTCTATTTGCATGTTCTCTTTGTTGAAATCTGATTTGAGATTTTTTTTTCTTCTTTGAAAATTTATTTAATAAGTTCACTTATGTTACATCTAAATCAAAAATTTATTCATGGAGACATAGTAGAAGATGGATGACTTAATTTTAAGATGATATATCGATGAACATATTTTGTAAATCGGTCTTGTTTTAAATGTTCATGCATGGGCTAGATCGTTCTTATACATCGTTCAAATATCGATAAAAGGTAAGTTGTTCAAATATCGATAAAAGGTAAGAAACAAAAGAAAGAACTTTTATATGGAAACAAAATTTGTAGTAATTAATCAATTTAGACATCTAATAGAATCTAACGTTCGTTAATCGTTAATCGTTAATCGTTAATCGTTAATCATTAACGGTCGATCTCTAATTATTAATTTGAATTTGCACAATATATTAAATACTTATTTGTATGCTAGTAAATAATTAACAGTTTAATTAATTACCAAAACAAATGTATTGGTCTTAATGATTAAATATTAGACTTGTTCGACATGACATATATAATCGTTATCAAATGAAGGTATTAATTTTTTCATGATTCAAAGCAAAAAATTAAAATTATTCTATAATAAAATTTAAATTACTCTTAAACTCAATAAATTACTTATGAACTTAGAAACTTAAGTTGATAGATTGGAATAAATTTAATAATTTTATTAGTAAGTAATTAAAATTGCAAGGTAGTTAGTAATCCAATATTGGGATATTAGCATGTCCAACAATATATATGAAACTTAATTATTAGGTGAAAGATTATGTATTATATCTTAAAGTAATGTTCATAATATATGTCCTTTAACCTAATTATTGTCATTACCATCATGGAAAATAAAAGAATATAGCATAATCAAATTTAGATGGTTTGATTATTGATTAATGAGATCAAAATCCCACAAATATTAAAGAACATCATAGATTAATAACATCTCCCTATTATATTAATCATATTAGAATGATTTCTAGAGTATCAATCTATAGTTTGACATCACTCAAACTTCACAAAATCTAAGACTGCAAACATATTATGATAATTGGTAATTCTAACGGCTAGTCCAACTCTATAAGTCTAGTCTATCAACTTATACTTTTGAGTTAATTAGTTATTTAACATAGTATCAAAGTCGGAAGTGCTATGTTTGACGGTAAAATATTAACTTTAACCATAATCCGTCAACTTATACTTTTAGCTAGATTGATTGATGATTTAACTAGCTTTGATACGGTTACTCCAGGAGAATGTCATATTTGTATAGTCATGTTGTGATCTAATAGTCCCTCTTTGAATGGTGACCATTCAAGTTTGAATGAAGGGATTTGGTAGGTTTAGGCCATACACAAACTGTATTATATATTAATAATTGCCAAATAAATCTGTGAAAAGTTTCTTAAAATTTGGTGGAACGTAGCCATGCAGTTATGGAAACACAACGAAACCTTTCAATTAATTTTCTTCCTTAACTCTCATTTCTCTCGCTGTATCCACTGAAGAATCTATGTAATACAACCTTCCAAACAAGCCATTTCTCTGTCTCTCTCTAGGTGAAGATGATTGGGTGGAACAACTCAGAAACTACTCAGCGCTCTCAAATCTCAAAAACACTCAGAGAAGTGATTAAAGTAAGCCCACAAAAACCCCTTAAAAAAAAAATTCTCCGTGGATTCATTTGTTTTAATTTGGTTTGATTTTGTTGACAGAGAGCCGTGATGGAGTTTAGATTATCGTCGTCTGCATTGAATGTCGACGAGAGGGAAAACTTAAACGACGTCGTAGAGGCCGTTCCAGTGTCCTTCAGACCCCCCGAATCCGTAAACATGGATATGGTATCATCATCTACCGGGAAAATAGAACAAATTAAAAATATGATTTTTAGGGCCGTTTAGTAAGGTTTCGTTTCTAAGCATTTTGCTAAAAGAAACCTTCTCAAAATTTGTAGGGACCATGCAACTCTATTATTTTTCTTGAGTAAAGAAGAAATAGAAACAGCAAACGGGTTATAACAAACGGGCCTATAATTTTTAATTTTTTTGGTTTTTCTTTTAAATTTTTATTTTGATTAGGTTTTCTCGCAGAGAAAGAGAGTGACGACACTGCTGGTCGGGGAAAGCTTAGTCTCCTTCAAACTTCCTCGCAGCTGTAACTTTGATCAAAAAGATCTTGACGAGGTATTTTATTTAATTATATTAATTAATTTTTCCCATAATCTTATTAAAATCTCAATGGAAGTTGTTAATTAATTTGTTCATAACAATATTAACGAATGAATACAGTTGGTAGAGGCAGAAAGAAGGGCAAATGGAGAGAATATTAACATTAATAATGCGCCTAAATATAGTTTGGTGGAAAGATTAGAAGGTTGGAAAATGGAAAGACGACAACGCGTCAATGGAAGATTTGACATGGTATGGAAATTTTTTAGATTTATAAAAATTCACACCTTATTATAAGAAAAATAATAATGTAATTAGATTGTAACATATATATATGGTTTTTATTTTTTTAATCTTTGGGCAATGGGTGCAGTACTACCATCACCTACGATCTAGGAGGACGTTTCGGTCGATCACCGAGGTTGTGAATTTTTTTCTGTTTGAAGTTTATCCAGACAAACCTCTAAAATCTGCTACCAAATCAAAGATTGGAGAAGATGATCATGTTTCTGTGAGTTTTCTTTCTATATCTTTGGTTTCATAATATATAAATATGTGATGGATTATAGCATTTTATTTTTTCCGACTTTAGTTGATAGTACTTACAATGTTGTTGAGAATGAATGATTTATTTTGCAGTTAGGAATATATTTTGATTTCTATACAATCCAATTAGACTTAGAAGCAAAATTAAGATTAGGAAAATAAATTTGTAGAACCTCAATTGATGCTTCAATTCAGTCGTTTCTACAGTGTTATAGATGGATATGCTGTTAAATTATTTTACCTTAATAGGTAATTTCTCTCTTTTGACCAGGGATGTTCATAGATCTCATCTCATTCCTCGTAATTTTCCACGAAATTTTGTGGGACCAGGGTGGGGATTCCTCATGGGAAATTTACGGGGATCGGGTTTATTTACCTAATCCAATCCTCTACCTATTTGGTGGGTAGAGAAGAATATGATTTTTTTAGTACATGAGACTAATAAGATTTTCTTAGTGCGTATCTATATGTGTATATGTATATATGTATTTATATATATATAAAGTGAGGCGATCGGGGACATGGAATGTTGTCCCCGTTTAGATGACAAAAAAAGAAAACACTTTCCATCCCCCAGCAGGGAATTTAAACGAGGATTCTCTGCCCCATTTAGGGGAGTCTCCGGGCCATACACATGAAAAATGAACATCCCTACTTTTAATACTGAAGCAAGTGATGAATGTGTCGATGACGGGTTCTGCTTTTCGTTCAGGGTGAAAAATCAAAGAGGAGAGAAAGGAGGAAGAGGAAATTGATTGATGAAGGCAAGAAATCAAGGGAGGAAATGCACCCCATCTATGATCTTGATGGTGAAGATCATGATCATCACATCCCCATCTATGATCTTGACGGTGAAGATGAAAAGGCAGATGATCATCAGAAGCCCACCAATGATGTTGATGATGAAGATCATCACAGCCCAATCCATGATGATGATAATGCATATGATCAGAAGGAAACAGTGGAGAAATTCTTGGCAGAAGCATATAATAATCTTATAAATGGGCATCAGGATAGGAAATTCAGTATCGATATCAATGAGGAAATTGGTGAAGAAGAAGAAGAAGATGGGAATTTCAAACCCAATAATCAGACTGTTGAGGAATTACTGGCAGAAGCTTATAATAATCTTCTAAATTACTCCAATAATGAACCCAAGTTCCAAAAAGGTATGTCTTCCAACTTCCATCTCTCCAAATGCTTAAGGCTACAATAAATAATAATTCTTCTCCTTTTTTTTTCAAATGTTTTACTTATCCTTAATTATCTGAGTAGTATTTTGGTAATGTTTTTTACCTTTTTTTTTAATTTTAAAATTGCGTTTGATGTTTGATGTTTGTTTCATGGTTTATGTTAATTTTTTATTTTAAAAAATGCATTTGTTAGCATAAAATTATCTTTTAGATATAAAGTATCACGAACAAAAAATATGTTAATTTTTTCATTTTTCATGCATTGTAGTTTCCTTTTTCCAAAATATGAATGCTATTTTTGGGAATTGTTTAATAAAAAATAGAAACATCATCCAACAATTAATCCTATAGTATTTTGGATTCGAAACTTTCAATTTTTCTTTCATTTAGTCTCTTTGCTTTAACAAAATTTGTTCTCAATTTCCTTTCGTACCCTTGGTTTGGCAGCAAAAGAAAAGAGATCATCAAGATCCATAGAGAAACCAAGAAGAAAAAAGGCAAAAACTTTCATCCCAATATCCTTTCCTTCTTTTCCCAATCCTCCCATCAACTTAAACTCCATTCCCATAGAGAAAGAGAGAGAGAAAGAGAAGATTACAGATACAGTAGTGGAACAACAACCCTCCATGAAAGTGGAAGAAAAAGCTTCTGTTATTGCAAGTGTGAAACACAAACGTTTCAATATCAAAGAAGTGAATGGAAACCTCGTCTTCTCCGACGTGGACTGCGAGCCAAATTATGCTTCGATGACGACAGCGGGCGCAGGCGGAGGAGGAGGCTCTTCTGCAATAGAAGTGGCAAAATCTGTTGCATTTTCTCATATGGATGAATGTGATCTGATCAACCATATCCCAGAATCATCTGACATGTTTGACCTTGCTGTGTTCTTGGCCAATAATAGGGGCAGTGGAGGATTCTAAACCCTAGCTAAAACCAACAAGTTAAGGTTTTTTCTTCTCCTTTTTCTTTCCTTTTTGTTTTTATGTGTTTACAAAGACTCCAAATAAAAACATGTTTCTAATTAGCTTTGGAGAAGTTTCTATCTTTAAATTAAAAACTTGTAAAAGTTAAGAAAAGTTTATCTCATGTTATACATTTGCTAATTGTACCTGTTAAGTAATTCACTTTTACAGATTATAGATCTATATATAGAATTCGTTATTCTAGAAATCAAAATTAAGTGTATTAGGGATGAAAATCAATCAATTAATGAGCTTTTGAGATCACAGTATATTTGACCAATAATAGTATAATTATCACAAGATAAAATATTTTGTTAAAATGACACATTTGTAATTAGAACTCGTGTACAAGTGATATTGTATACTTACTTTATACTTTATAATGGGTATATTGATGATGTATAATATATATATATATATATATCTATAGAAATATGTAGATACTCACTTCGTTGAAGGGTATGTGAGAAAAAATATACACAAAAAGGATTGAGGCTAAAAGAAAGCACTCCAGTTTAGCGAAATGGTAGACATATCATACTTTGATATCTTCTATCTTCCGAAATGTTGATGAAAGTTCTGGATTTATCTAAATAGCGATGGTTTCTTTTGAGCCAAACGTTCCCTAAAATAGCTGGCACTACATTTCTACTGCTATTTGATTTAGAGGCAAAGGCCCTTTTTGGAGAAAGCTGGATCTACTTGGGAGAGATGGAAATATTAAAAGTTTTGAATAACTGATACCAAAGATTTGAAGTATTTGTGCAACGGAGAATCATGTGGTCCAAGGATTCTCTTGGAAGCTTACATATATAAACCCTCCAATTTGGGTACATAGGGAAAAATTGTATATATATAATGATATAATTTTATATTTATATATAAGTGACAAATCAATAATATATTTTATCACATAAATGACATGTCAGTGATATATTTTTACCCAGGAAAAATAGCCATCATATTTGCAAATGATTTTATGTAACAACTTTGCAAATATGAGAACCAATTTTTGCCACCCATTCTAGTTTCTCTTGATAAAAGCTTAGGCACAAATCCTATTTTGCCCCTAAAGTTCCATCTTCATTTCATTTTTTGTTTTACAATTTTAAAACCATTTTATTTTAGTTTCTAAATTTTATTTTATACCCTAATTAAACTTTTCCAAAAAAAAAAAAAAAAACTAACTCGATCCTTTTGGTGGTATTAAAAGAATCGTTATAGTTTATATTTTATTAAATAGTCCAAATCAATTTTATAAAAATTATCGAAGTTAGGGATTCATTTATTTTTAATGTACTAATTGGTGTATTAACTTATTAAAGCATATATTCACTATTTATACAAATGTGTGTGAGAGAGAGGTGGGATTGTACATTATATTATTCTTTAAACTAATTAATGCTTTTGATATCTACCATCAAATTTTGTATTTCATAAATCATTATTTTAAAAGAATATTCCTTTGGATTTTTCTTTTTTTTTTTTAAATAAAAACAATGCTATGGTTCCTCCATTCGTACGAATAAAACCTTTTTTTTAAATAATTACAAACTTAATTATTTAATCCATTTCTACTATGCTTTTTTTTTTCATTAGAAAACCTTGTATGCTGTTTTATTTAACTAATCAATGTTTTTAATAAAATAAGCATACCATTGAGTTAGTTTTTTTATTTGATAAAATTAGGAAATATAATATATATTGATGGTCAAAGACTTGATTAGAGATAGAGAATCGATGATTTACTCAATTTAAATATACTAGATTGCACTCACATGTTTGAAGTCATTTCTGATAACGAAGTTTCAAAAGTTATAGTTAAAGATTTTAAATATCCATATCGATGGAAATGTCGAGGTCTCAATTTCATAGAAATATCGATGAAAATATCGATAAATTGTCGATATCGATGAATATTTCTGTAGAAGTTAGAAAAATTAAAAAAATTGTAAAAGTTAGATAATTATATTTTAAGCTTTGCATTTATTATAATGGTTGTTTTTATTAGTTTGGTTAGAATTTGGAAAAAAAATATATCTAGAAACGGGGAAGTCAGCAAATTAGAATGGCCATTGTTTTCCTTTTCCTCACTTTGGTCCAAAAAGGCAACTAAGAACCCCCACGTGCCAACGACTTTTATTCTCACTTTTCACCTAAATATTTCATATTCACTAATAATCTACTTAGTCTTATTTAACTATAATTTAACTAATTATTTCTCTCCATCTTTATATTTTATTGTATTGAAAAAATGTCACCAAATATTTTTATCTAATTTATATTTAGTAACATGGTTGAAATTAAAAAATAAAATGATGACAACTATTAAATAATTATAAGAATACATACAATGACATCTTATAATTAAATTTTCAATATTAAAAATGTCAATTTATAAGAAAAAATAATATTTTTACAACATGTGAGATAAAAATTATAAATTTGACCCATGAACTTTCAAAATTATATCTAATAAATCATGAAATTTTAAAAAAAAATGCTTAATAGATTTTAAAGTTTTAAGATTGTGTCTGATCGCTAAACTTTAGGATGTCTAATAAATTATTCAACTTTGAACTTTGTATTAAATAGGTTTTTAAACTTTCACGTGAATGTCTTATGTATATTTGACTTATTAGATATAATATTAAAAATCTAGGTACCTGAACATTTTTTAAGCTCAAACATTTATTAAATACAATTTGTTTCCAAACCTGTAATTTAACTAATTAAAAGATAATTTATATTTCAAAATCGAAGTATTTAGGCAAAAGGGAAAGAAAGAACAACTCAGAAAATATAAATATTTGGTTGGGCAAAATTAATTCTGCTCTGAGTGTCCAATCATGTTGGCTATGACATGAACCATCTAAATAAAGCTGGTGATCTTTTACGTATCAAAGTTGCATTTCCATTAACTTCAAAAAAGAAAAAAGGAAAAATTACATTTTTGTTTCCATTTCCACTTCTTCTTTGCTTGCTTTTCATCTCAGAGTTCAGACAGCTTTTTCCCCGACTCTCTTCTCTAAAGAGAGACAAAGGAAGGGACAATAAATTCTCTGGTCGGTCCCAGATTTCTGATCTATTGAAGAACTTGGGGTCTTAAATCCATTTGTTTTCCTTTTCGAAGTTGCTGTAAATTTCTGATCGGATTTTGCTGATGGGGGCTTGCTGGAGTGATCGTTTCAACTCTCTGAATCCTCATACAGGTACTTCTCGCCTCTGATTTTGATTCCCCTTTTCTCTTTTCTCTGATTCTTCCTCTTTTAAGCTTAGTTTTGGATGATTCCGAGTAGCTTTTGACTCAACAGCTCTGTGGGTCTTAGATTAGATGCCTTCACAAAATTGCAGATATGGTGTTTGTTTTAATGAATCCTTTACTTGGATAGCTTGCTTGATGTTCTTTTTGCCCTTTATGGTATTTCAGTTTCTTTTCTGCGAGTTGGTTTTGTTTGATTTTGTGTTTACTTTTTAGTTTGATTTTATCCATTCAATAAGAAACCTTAATGATGGTGAGATTAGTCATTTATGTTTGTCCGTGCATATATCTGCCCTGGATTTCCCTGAAGATTTGGAATTCTCTGTCACTTGGAGTTGGAGATCTGATCTCTCTTGTTCATTTGTGTCTTTACATTGATGAGTCATTTTCACAAATAATATGCCCTTCAATCAAGATTTCATAGAGTTGAAATGTGGTTTGACTGGCTGGGACACTCACAAGTCACAGCATTAGTTGATTGAGAGTTCATACTGATGTCAATACGAAATGACATCTTTATACTTTGATTTGGTTGACTTACAGAACAAATCCACTGTATCATGTGGTTTCTCTGTGATTCTAGGAAAGTGGAGGCATTTGTTAGAATCTTGAAAGTGTTGTGAAGCATTTAGTTTGTGTATGTTCATGGTATGTCTTTTATTTTCTGATAAAGATTAATGGCAGTTATAGACTATATTGGTAAAGGTTGCAATTTTGTCTTGTTTACTGGTTGCAGGTCTTACAAATTGTAACTCTAAGAGAGGAGATGGGGAACACTCACATATTTCCACCAGCAAGGTATCCTCAGCCTCCATACCTGCGACTCCTCGGAGCGAGGATGAGATTCTACAGTGCTCCAATCTGAAAATTTTCACCTTTAATGAATTGAGAACGGCAACGAGAAACTTCCGCCCTGATAGTGTAGTTGGAGAGGGTGGGTTTGGTTCAGTCTTCAAAGGTTGGATTGATGAGCATTCTCTGACTCCCACCAAGCCGGGCACTGGCTTGGTAATTGCCGTGAAGAGGCTCAATAGAGAGGGGCTGCAGGGTCACAGAGAGTGGTTGGTCAGTATCGAATTTTCCTCGTTCCTGAACTCCGTTTTCTATTTCTTTCTTCTTCCTTACATGGCATCTGCGTTAATGTTTTCAACATCTTAATTCTTCTTTAATATATATTGACTGTGTACCCAATCCTTTCTCTGGGTTGGGCTATGGCATGATTTTGCGTAGTTTACTGAACTAATGACGAATGTGTAGGCGGAGATCAACTACTTAGGGCAGCTTTCCCATCCTAATCTTGTGAAGCTGATTGGTTACTGCTTTGAAGATGACCACAGGCTGCTGGTATATGAGTTTATGCAAAAGGGCAGTGCAGAGAATCATCTCTTCAGAAGTATGTTGCTGATTTATGCAATGCTTCTCACAGTTCAATTTTTCCTTGTGCAATGTTCTTTGTGTAAGCTGCTACATTGTTGTCCATTCAGGAAGCTCTCACTTCCGACCGCTTTCGTGGAATGTTCGGACAAAAATTGCTCTTGATGCTGCCAGAGGACTTGCGTTTCTTCACAACAGTGACATGAAAGTCATATATCGCGACTTCAAGACATCTAATATTCTTCTCGATGCGGTAGGCACTTGCTCAATTTTTCATGGTCACTTGCAGTTATTTGGAAAATCTGACCATCTTTTTTGTCAAAATCTACAGAACTACGACGCAAAGCTCTCTGATTTTGGATTAGCCAGAGACGGGCCGGTTGGAGATAAAAGCCACGTCTCTACCAAAGTCATGGGAACCCATGGATATGCAGCTCCTGAATACTTAGCCACAGGTTCTAATTCTCTGTTCCTTCTGACTCTATCTTGTTACTTCATCATTCTAATCACATCATTTCTATGGAAAGGTCATCTCACAGCGAAGAGCGATGTATACAGTTTTGGAGTAGTTCTTCTTGAACTGTTATCAGGGCGACGAGCCATAGACAAGAATCGACCATCTGGGGAACACAACTTGGTTGATTGGGCAAAACCGCATCTAATAAGCAAACGAAAAATCTTCCGCGTCATGGATAACCGGCTCTCGGGCCAGTACGATCTCGGGCAGGCGCAAAAGGCAGCAAACCTTGCATTTCTGTGCCTAGCCACAGAGCCCAAGTACAGACCCACCATGAATGAGGTAGTAACAGCATTGGAGCAGCTTCAGAAACCATCAGGGATATTGAGCAGTGGAAGAGAACATCATAATTCCCGTCCATCAAAAACTTGAAGAGGCTTCCTCAGCAAATCTTGTGAAATGTACAGCTGCTCTAATGATAATGTATTTCATATTTTTCACTCTACTTGTATGTAACACTTTACTATGAAAATGTCGATATTGTCGAATCTATCTAGTACGATATTTGTAGAGCGATTGAAGAAGAATTTGTGAAGTATCAAATTAGAAAGAATGTAAGTTCAATCACTAAAGTTTAATATCACACTTTTATGTGTGTAAAGAACATTTTTGTTCTTTTCAAACCATTTGAAGAGGAATGTATATATATTTCTACTGTTATTGTTGTTAATTAACATAAAAAACAGGGATGGATATTATGACTTTGTGAATTTCAAATAAAACTAAATAATTTGCATTGATTTTTATAAATTTCATTGTTTCATTTTATGGATCTTAATGATATGATTAAAAATGACAGGCTCATTATTGACCAATAGATCTGATGGAATACTTGGGCTTTTGGGCTCATTATTTGGGTCCAATATTTGTAATAATTAGGTTAAAATTTTGATTTAAAAGCTAGATTAAGTTTGAATTTATTTTATAATAATAGTAATAACAAATCTGATCATTCTAAATTCGCGATCATTCATTCTTCAAATTCCTTCCAACTATATCATCAGAACTTATAGGGTTTGTTATATTAAGCATCCCATAAGTTATTTTTTTTTTATCTTATGTAGTTGATATAAAACATGTAAATTGTTTAGGTACGTGATAATCCAAAGGAATCATATGGTCTCATTCATTCTTTAAGCTATATTATAAAATGAGGCAAACCCGAGATTAACATTTGATAATTTATGTACATTATATACAGTCACATAATTATACATATTATATATGTAAGTTGGTTTATAACATTTACTAATAAATTATATGTGCTCCATTTAAAATATATATATATATATATATATATAAAAGTTATATATGCTAGCTAGTTTTGTTTATTTATATATTTTGATAAATATGTATGTGTGTGTATATATTTCTTTTCTTTTATCAATTATATAAGAGGTTATATACAAGCAAGTTCTTTTTTCCACCTTAATGTTCAAATGATCCTCTCAATCATATGTAAAATTGAAAAAAAAAATGTTTACATGACCATTAAGGAGAAAATATAAAGATTCGGAAAATAGAATAAAAGTAAAAATTTGTAATTAAGTAAGATTTAAGCTTTCGAATTACTTTAGCAACTATTTGGAACGCTATAAAATTGGAAAAGAACCATTAAAAAAATTGGCGTCAACTTTCCGCTTGATTTATAGATGAATGCTAAGACTTGTTTGAATATGTATGGACCAGCACTTTGCAAAGAGTTATTTCTTAATTTCTTTTTCTTTTCTATTTTCCTCCAAAGAATGAGAATCTAACCTCAAATATCAAATAATATCTCATGATTCACATTGCATCGAGTACCATCGTACACAAAAATAATAATATTATCACTTATGGAATTTTACCACCATCGGTTGAGGTTGTTTGATGAAGGATAGTAATCAAATCCAACGATATCGATATATAACAGAATTTCCTTTTTCAAGCATGACACATACTTTTTATACTAAAAATTTGTCTTCTCACATCACTATTATATTCCTCCAAAATTGTCTAGAATTCCTTTGTCTTGGGTGATTTTTGAACCAAATAGATACCACAGTGATGTTAAGTTTTCTCTTATCGACCCGACGACCAGAAGTTCAGAAAAGGTAATAGAAAATAGATTCTCAAAAAAGGGGGGAAGAATAGAATTGTGTAGGGAGGGGGATGGATTTATTCAAATACCAAAAGAATCTCAAAGGCTTTGGACCTAAAAAGGCCATTTGGTAAAAGGAATGTAGATAGATTTCCAACAAGCTAAAGAAAGACACATGCAATGCAATTGCAAAAAAGATCGTAAGAATATTGTTCCAATTGCATCAACTTACCCACTAACCATAAAACCCTAAACAACAAATTGAAAATGTGTTGTGTTTTGGTCCCCAAAATCAAAGTAATCCAACCTCATTCTTCTCCATTGCAAAAGTCTTTTGTTCTCTTCCATTATTTCATGATATTGTGGTTGGATAAGGTACAAATTCCACACCCCTTTTTGCTTGTTGGTTGGCTTTTCTTTTGTTTCCCTTTTGTCTTTCAAATGGAAGTTTAGCCCTACTTAAATAACTGATGGAGCCCTTAAAATTACATTTTGAAACTTGAAATTTTAATATTCAAGATGAGTTACTACCATGGAGTTTGAATCAATTTTATAAAAATTTTACTTTTACACTTAAAAGGAGTACGAACCCATTCAAGGTACGAACAAAAGTGCTTTTGGCTAATATATTTCTTCTAACATGAAGGCACATTTTCTCACTCAAAAAGTTTATTTCTCTACTTTAGGAATTGACTTTAGACTTAGAAAAATTATCAAATTTAAGTCAAGAAAATTTGAAGAGCATCTTGTCCATGTAGCAATACTGTGTCTTAAAGAGAATATTCTTATCAAAACTTCGTTTGTTATTAAAGAGTCACATCAAATCTTCCAAAAGTACTTATAACACATTCAAAATAGTTCATCCAAGGAGAGATATTTTAGAACTCAAACTTGTTTCAATATTTGAGTCAATCCCAATAATAAGAACATTAAAGGCGCTTCATATAACATAATAGTTTGTGTATGTAGTAATAAAAAAGCTGCGGGCTACACATTTGCCATTTGCAGCCGCTTCAGCCTCCGCTACATTTTTAACCACGGTGATTGTTAAATTCACCACCGCCAAAAGCACACCCAAAACAATATAAAAGAGGGAAAAAAAAAAAGTAAAAAGTTACCACACACCCCAGTAACTTTCCCTACACCTATGATTCGATTTAGATTTAGACCCACTTTTAATAGAGCTATGATTTTTTACCCTAAAGACACTTTCATTTTAACCGTCCTATTAAAATTACTTTGACCTCTCCCCCCACTCCAAAATTTCCCGGGTAAATAAGAGGGAAAGAAAAGGAGGGTGGGAAAATATTCAAAAAAAGAGAGAAAAAAAGGGAGGGAATTTCAGACGCGGAAATTCTTGCCCGTGAAGGTCTGCCCGAACTGCCAATTAGATGGCGCCACGTTCCATGAAGTGGAGGTGCGACGGTCACTGCCCGTGACCCGGAAGGAGAGGGACTGACCCACCAAAACCGCGTTGGATTGCCAGTTTTGCCCCCAGTTACGGCTCATGCTCATCCACTCGGTGTTGGATCCTTTCACGCTCACCCTCACGATGTCCCCTGCACCCGCCACGTTGCTGATCAAAACCAAGTTGAAGTAACGGAAGCCGTTGATTGTGAACCTGATTCCCCCTTCTTTCCTACATGCCACTCTGTAACCAAAAAATAAAAAGGAAATTACCAAAATTTACCGTATCATATAACATTAATATAAAATGTGACTCAATTTCATTAATTATTCTCTTCCTATTAACTATATTCAAAGGCCAACATAAGTATAGCCCAGCATCCCAAAAAAGTCACATTCAAAGTCTTACGGATCGTTCTTTATGGGTTTGGTAAATTCAAAATCCTTACTCCTAATTTCGCAACGCAATATTCTCACATCTCTATGATATTTACTAAAAATAGGTTATCGAGAGCTAAATCCATTTCTAAGAAATTTCACTCAGAATTATCCCGATCTAAATCTGAAAAAATATCATAATGCATGTTTTCACTTGATCTAAGAAACTAAAGCAGGGCCAGTTCATGACTTTTCTGACAGTTTATTGAAGCAGCTTCTTAACGAAAACATGCATTGAGATGGTCAAAAACTAAGAAGCAGAATCCCAAACGAATCGCGTATGAAACAGAGAAATAAAATGGATTAAGCAAGCATATGGAAGGAGACTGACCGGCGGTAAGCGACGGGGACGATTCCGGCGCGGTATTCGGCGATCTTGAGGAACATGGGCATGGCGAGGTCGAAGTGAGTGCGAGGAGGGTTGCACCAGCCGCCATTGTCGTTGGGAAGGGCGAAATTGGGAGGGCAGAAATTGGTGGCGGTGACGAAGATGGAAGGGCTGCCGGGATGGCACCAGTTGGGGTCATTAGCGCACTTGATCTCGAAGCAGGCGCCGCAGCTGAAGCCATTGTTGAATAGAGCGGTGCTGAGCGCGGCGGTGTTGACTCCGTAGCCCTGGCTGTAGAGATTCCCGTACCCACACGCACCACCTGCAGAAGAAATCGAAAATGGGAATCAAAAGGAGGGGAAACGAAGAGAGAGAGAGAGGGGAGGGAGGCAGAGGAATACCCATGGTTCCGGAGGCGTCGCTGCCGCCGTAGAAGGTGGCGTGGGCGTCCTGCCAGGGGCCGCCGGAGTAGACGCCGGGGATGCGGGCGTGAGAGAGGAGGAAGAGGGAGAAGAAAGAGGAGAACAAGCAGAGGAGAGAGAGAGCGGCCATGGCGGAAGGTGGGAAATGGGAAATGGGAATGGGAATGGGGATGTTTGGGAGGGGAAGGGGAAGGGGTACTTATGGAAAGCACACACCACAGCCAAGGGCCGATATTATCACTACGTGTGTAATTAATGCCATTTGCCGGCCTCTTTTTTTACCCTTCTCTTTTTTCACAATTAATATTAAATAAAATAAAAATAACTTTTTTTTTTCCTTTTGCTTCTTCTTCTGCTTCTTTTTCTTTTCAATATATATTTTTTCGAATAAGTGCACCACTACGCCAAAAGGGCTTCTTCATATTCATGTGTAGACTCTACTTGACCTACTTATATTTCCACCCTACAATTGCACATTTAAATTTAGGTTAAGTTATAAATTTGATATTTCATCCATGGAATTTATAAAGTCTCGTCTCTTTCATTTCCTATTTTAGTATTTGTTTTTAAAAATTGTGTTTATTTCATAAAAAAAATTGATATGTTTTCACATTTTACTTCTTTTGCTTTTAAAATTAACTTTTTTTTTTTAATACAAATAGAGGTGGGGTTTCAAATCCAGACATTTAGTTAGAATACATGTCTTAATTAATTAACATCCCTTAAGTGAACTATTGACTTAGATTTTAATAAAGATAGAATGAATATTTATAAGTTTAATTTTCAAAAAACTACCAATCACAAAATAAATTATATTCTTATGTTTAATTTATAAATTACATTACTGTTAATTTTTTCACAGAACATTATGATAAGAAAAATGTATGAATCATTTTTCTCAAAAAGAAAAAAAAAAGAAAGAATTTATGAACCACGATAGTATTAGGACCTATTTTTAGAACGTAGGAATATATTTGGTAAGAAAGGCAAATCATACGGAATTGTAGTTTGTAATCGTCCCTAAATTTATCATCATTTATAACAAAACCTATACACTCTAGAATAAGTAATCTGTATTAATTCTATAATTTATATAATTTTTCATATAATAAGGATGTATAATTACGTTTTTGCGTGCAATTGGCTATCATTCCTTTTTTGGCCCACATATTTTATCTACAACTTTTCATTTTAATTGTTTTTTTCTTACTTATGGTTTATTTTGTTCCCCCTAATCTTTGATTACACGCCCTAACACGATCTATATGCATAAAAATAGGTAGAATTTGATTAATTATACTTCATTTTTATTTGTTTGGGGCCAAAATCATAACTCAAGGGAACAAAATCTTATACCAAGAAGTTATCCGTTTGAACTCAAATTCGTGTGGGCTCAATTGCGTAGGGATTGGATTCATTTCAATTTGATGAATGATGAGACATAAAATAAATTTATAAATCACCAACGGGTCCTTTTTGTATATAGGTTATTGGACAACTATATCAATCACGGTAGAATATGCTTTTATAATGATTAATGTCAGGGAAAATGCAAATCAAATCGAAAACATGTTGGACAACGCACAAAACATAACAATTATTAGTATAAACAAAGTCATAGGTTGATTAGAGAAAGTGTAGAGGTAGATATGTGATATATAAGTGAGAACAATTACCTAAAGTTTGTTACCCAGGCTTACATCTAAAATGGACAGCTTCATTCTATTATAGGAGTTGTTATCCTTATGTGACAATCTCTATTAACATCTAATTTTTGACTCTTTGAGAGACATTCGATAGATATTAAAAACAGATAGACATAAAACTATATGTTAATTTATATATGGGATATTTAATAAGAAACAACAATGCAGATGTTCGAACACAGGACCTCCCACTCTAATACTATCTTAAGAATAAAATAAGCCACCACTCAACCAAAACGCTTAAGCTGATAGGTTGGTATTCAATTTTCAGAGAAATGTAGCAATCAAAACTTTTCGTTAACCCAACTAATTTGAAAACAATTCGATTCCGGCCAAATTATTTATAGTACTTGAAAGGGGAAAAAAAGTTCTTAAAAGAAGGTAAGAAACTTCTTATATTATAAGATGGTCATTTTGACTCCATAACATTTGCAACCACACAAAAGAGATAAAAAAACATAAGGAATCCACTCATTGCTTCAATCACAAGCTGTGAAAATGGCAATGGTTGTGATTGAGCCAAGAAATTTTGCTTCTTTCTTACTCTACAATCTCTCACAACAACAACAAAAAAGTGAGAGAGAAAAGAAAAATGGATGCCTTCAACATGCAAAAATATCACACACAAAAAGGGGAGGACCAAACTGTGAAATCCAAGCCATCAATTACTTGATACCATCTACTTTTACTCTCATACACAACTTCATTAATGTATTAAAATGATGTGAAAGAATTTTGAGAACTATACTCAAAAGTCTTAATAATTCTTATTTATGATGGGTTTTTATTCAAAAATATGAAGCAACGCTGGTTTTATTCCATCCCAATCAACTTTGCCATTTTCTTACTCCTCACAAGTTGACATGAGTAATATATTCGCGAGAATGAGATATAATTTTGAGAATGGTCAAGTACTTATTTTAAAGGTATAGAGACTATGTTCTCCAATAATCTTCTGATTTTGTTTCAAAAGTGTGATGGCATGACTTGTAAATGTTCCTATCTATTATCGTACATGGAAATTGATTTGGAAATGGGAGGTTAATAAATAATTAATGTCTTTATTTCTAATATATTGTTATGAAGAAGATAAAAATTAGTTTTTTTTTTTCTCAATCTTTTATATCCGTCCAAAATGATGAACTAATTCTTGATTTTTACTGATTTTAGAAACAGATTACCATATGAAGCTTTTGTCTTTAAGAAGACAATAGATAAAGGATATACATAATAAACAACCTTTACACATGCTTTAGATAATACGAGAAACAGTACTAAAGGACAAATTGTCAGTTTCTTATCTTTTAACTTTATTGAAAGTTCGAGAAAATTTTGTATTTCATTTATAATTTTGATAATATTTCAACATGTATAATAAAAATGGAGAGTGTGCAACTCTAAATAATTTTATTAAATTAGAAGATATCAATTCAAACTACTAATTAAGTTTCAAAGTGTATGTTGTCGAGAAATATTCTATTTGAAGATTGTTGGAGGCAGATTTCCATCTGCCATGTGTCAACATCGTAAAGGTACTTGAATTAGAATCCATTTAGAGTATAACAATTTGCTTAAGTCCTTTCAGGTCGGAATCAACTGCACGAGTTAGGTTGGACGAGCCAACCTAAAGTTGCATCCAAGGGAATGTTTCCGAAATCCGACAACACGCCATGTTTTACGGACGGTCGGACGACCGTTAGCCCCGTGTCAGGATTCTTGTCGGATCCAATCTCTATAAATAGAGATATTTGTCCTCCGTACAAGGTACGCGAATCCAGTTGCATTCATTGAGTTAGATTGGATAAGAGCTAACTTACTCGTCGAAGTACTAACATTGTTTACAGGTTCTTTGAGGGCTCAGGGAGGTCATCTCATTCACTCCGACCTACACGAATTCCGAGCTTGGTCCTTTTCGAATCGAACAAAGGTAATTAACTTGTCAGCAAGAACTCGCTTCCACTCACTTGACAACGTGATACTATATAAAATCCTACATCAATAGAAAGCAACCATGAAAATTCTAGAAAATATAGGATGATAGCATAAATTTATCTCAATAAAAAGGTATATGATATATAAAATTGTCACCGAATGTATGTTTGGTTCATTAAAGTGAAATAAATACAAACAAGTAGATATTAAATTAAAATCTCTCGTACATGCGCACACATTAATTTAAGTGAATTTAATAGCTAAATAAACGTAATAAATAGCACTACAATACGAACCAATAAATATTTCGTGCATTACATTGAATAAAGTTAATTTTCTAAAACATAATATCTATAATGCATTAAATTGGATTGTTAAATAGTTAATCCTTCTCTTCAGAAAAATATAAAGAAAATAGTTATAATCGAGAATCACTGTGTTTGAATTAACTTTTTCAATGATTTTAGGCTCCATTAGTTATCCGTAATGGAAACGAATCGGAATGAAAATGTTTTTGTTGGTCTTAACCATAAATTTTCTGGAATCGTAATCAAAATTCATTTTTTACTCAAATACTCCCAGTAATCGGAATCAGAATCAGATATGTAACAATTATTATTATACATTTTTCTCCTTTTTAGTTAATTACAAATACATTATTGCGTAATCTTTTTTAATTACAACAATAATAAATTTTAATTTAAATTATTACTATATTATTGATAGTAAATTATTTTTACCATAATAGTTTATTTAATATTAATAAATAATGAATAATTAAAATAAAATTACACCAAATAAATAATGAGTAATTAAAATAAAATTACATCAAATAATATCGGTCGATATTAATTAATATAAATTTTTAATATTATGTAATAAATCCACGTCAACTAATAAAAATTAAAGTATAAATGAAGAAAAAATTATAAAAGTATAACAAAATTAATTAAAATTTGTATGGGTCTAATTAATAGAGGAGAGAGAAAGGGTAAAAGTTGTAACGAACTATAATAAATACGTGGAGCCCATGAGATAAGGATGAATAATTGGTGGATGAGGTTGTAGAAATGTAATGAGATTACACATTGGAATGAGATGAGTCTTACAAGTCTCACCACTTCATTTCATTCCTACCATGTGGTAAACATCATCAAAGGAAATGAAAGTTTTCATTACGATTGCGGATAAATAAACATAGTGTTAAAAGATTAAAAGTTTTTTTTGGTAAATAAATAAATGTCACTTTTGAAAAAATCAAATTATTTTTTTAATAAGGAGTTTAAAGTTGATTATTCAAACAATGATTTTAAATTGATCCACACTGAATCACTTTATGGTAATTTATCAGAATCACTTTTTAAATATTGTGTAACTAAATAAATTAGTGTCTAGAATAATTTGAAGAAAATGAAACCAAAACTAAAGCTATTTTCATATAAAAATGTGCTTTAAGAAAAAAGAATGTTTGTTTAATGAGTGATTAAATTAGAAGTCATGTCAAACTCACTTTAGTTAATTACATTCTAGTCCATGGTTCAATCCCCCACCCA